CAATAATAAATCCGTTGTAGCTTCGAAATCGTAAATCGAAAAACGGTGTATTTCACACGGGCTATCTCTAGAGAAAACGAGAGAGAGAAAGAGAGAAGGTAATTCCTCCGAACGAAAGATTAATGCGCAAGGACACTCGAGCCGCGAATGTCTCTCCGTTTAGTGCTCGCTTCTCTATCCAGAAGAGGAAACGTCGTCGGACAGACGGCGGCTTTTGTGACGAGAGAGAGAGAGAGAAAAGCAGGCAACAAAATCGATATACAGCCATTGGTGCCGGCGTTGACGATTGAGCGACTAAATGTGCGCGCGTATATCCTTTTTCGGCGGAAAACGCTAATAAAATAGTATCGACCGCTAACTGTCGGCGACGGGATACCGTAAATCATCCGTCGTTTCAACGGATGGATGAGAAAATCAACACGCTCGCGCTACACGGCTGGTTGACACGCCTCGCCTTAATGAGCTTCCGTCCGATCCGCGGATCAATCACTCGCGGATATTTAATCGCGTAGACGTGCTCCATCTTCCTCGTTCGCGGAATGGACATTTCTGCTGACCGCGCGAATATCTCCGGCGACGATAAAAACTCGAGATACGTCGCGTTAAGAGCTAACGCACACACATTTATACATGATCGCCCGCTGTACATTCGCGTTGTATTCGAACGACCGGCGGGTCACTTGTGAAAATGTTAGTCTTTCAGATGTTTACGTACCCTAGAACCCGCTACATAAATAAGAAACGAACGCTAGTCCATCGCTCGCCCGAGGAGCAGCTACAGCTCCGTGATTCCGTCCGTAATGTCGTCATCGGTTCCGTTTCTCGCTGATAGTCGCGAGCGCGTAACGAGCCGATAACAGGAGCGTCGTCAGTTGGGTTCAGGTAATCCGTACTGTTAAATGTGCCGTTACTCGGCTGANAAAAAACCAAAAAAAAAAAAAAAAAAGCAGCAACGTCATCCCCGTGGAGCAGAAACAGCGCGTTACGGGCCAGCGAACGGACAACGAGAGTGTGGTGCGCGATGGGAGAGTGCATTCGCGATCATCGAAATCCAATTTCGCCGTTGAATCTCGTTCCGTAATTTCCGTGAGCGTTGAATCGCCCGTGCGTGCGCAAATGGCGACGACGGTGTCGAGTTTCAGTTTATAATTCGGAATCACCTGAGCCACGCCGGTGTAATACCGAGCGAGCTAGTTAGTTACGACGCGCGTCTCCAGTTTCGACGACCGCACGCATCCGGCACTATTAAACTGCCGCGCGCGAATTCGGACGAAATTAGATTGTTGCGGGGCGTCGATCATATTGTGGCGCGCGCGAGAAACTTCGTCCCATTCAGTCGGACTAGTTTACTCAGAGACGATGCAACGACCCGGGCGACTAATAATCGGAAACGTAACGAGAGAGAGAGAGAGATACCGGATGGCAACAAGCGGAGATTTTCGTGGGATCGAGATTATTATTGATATTTATAGCGCGCGAAGTGTCGTCTCTCTTTTCTCGGGTCGCGGATGAATCTCCGCTCGGATGTAGGTCAGAATATAACCGAGACGGGATCCCGAACGGAAGTCTGAATTCAAAACATCGGAACCGCGATGTTTCGTCGGAGTTATTAGAGGAAGAGAGAATGCGGCATGAGCGTAAATATATTCGGCGGACAGGTCCGTCAGAGCTTTCAAGCTGCTCGAGCGGATCTTGAAAATAAATCAAGCAGTGACACAGGCGTCGTGAGGGGACGGGAATTCATTTAAACGGCATTAACCGCTTACGGAATATCGCTAGGTATATTTATATTAACATATCGAGCGATTTATCTCTCTTCCCTTTATAACGTCGTAATCGAGGTGCTAAAACAGGAGCGTAGGATAACTGTAAAAACCGATTAAATCTTCAACGTCTCGAATATAATGCACGATCGTTGAACTGATCGTTGATGCTAGCTGATACCAGACTAAAGAAGGTTAAATTTAGCCGTCGATATCAACGTATCGATATAGGAAGATAGAACACTTTGAGAGAATTTAATGTCGGCGCAAGCTCTCGAAAATAGACACGATTTCAACACGATTAATCCGTCATCCTAACGAAAGTCGCGTCGACAACAGCCATGAATAGCGAGAGAAAGAGAGAGAGAGAGAGAGAGAGAGAAAGAACGTGGCGGAGAGGAAACCCGAGTGATCGCCGGAGCCTCCTCTCGCTTCTGGACGATGACGTGCTCTCTCACTATCAACTTCCTGCTAGACGCGATACATACGGGCTCCTACACGTTATTGCGCCTGGAGGGTCAACGATCCGCGTAGTTCACAGAGTTATCGGAGTTTTTAAACGCACTACCTCACGCCGGAGGGAAAGCGTTTGCCTATCGACGACAACGTTAGCGAGAATTTTCCCTGCTCCTTCTACGCGACGAGCCGCAGGATCGGATTGCTAATATTATCTACGGACGAGATCGTTAGCGAACTACGTGCGAAAGCGGAGCTCCTGATAACAACGTGGAAAATAGTCCCAACGTGGAAAATAGCTCCCAGATTATCGCGCGATTAACGAACAGATGGGACATTTCGTAACTGGTGCGCTCAAATTAGAGATTATCTATATGTATCTATGTGTATCCATAATGCGTGTTATATGATAACAATATGCAGAATGAATAGCCGCAGTAGCTAAATTAGTTGTAACATACGAATATCGAAAATTTTAACAGTATAGGCCATTATAACTGCTGCGATAGCAAACGTATCATCATAAATGACATTTACGATATGTTTGCTGCTGTAACAAAAGATTTTACTACTGCGGCTAATCTCTTTTTTACGTGTACGTTGGAAAATTTAAACAAAAGAATCCAAATAAAAGAATCTTATTTTACGTAAATAAGAGAAGGCAACAAACAAATGAAAGTACAACAATAATATAATGCAGACAGAAAATTATAGTTATTTTCGGCGCCTTACATGTAAGGTTATCATCGCTAATACCATAGTAACACTTACTGAAAAAACGGTCCTCCTATTTTTGTGGTTAAAATAGAAAGGCTATGTTTGGCGCCAAAAATAATTATAATTTTCTATCAGTGTAAGATAATATAAAATCATAAAAATCATAAAATCATAAAAAATGATAAAATAACGGTAAAAAAAAAGAGTCCTAACTAACAAAATTATGCGCAAAGCCTGTGATTATCAGTCGTGAATTTATTTCGACATGAAAAATCGCGAATGTTTAATTCCCGCTCATTGAGAACGCCTCTCGGGTTAACAAAGGATAGAACACAGTCACATAAATTCAATCGTGATGGAATAAAAAGCGGCTCGCATGAGCGGACGCGTATTAAATCTGCCAAATCGATATCGATTTTATTGCGCCGCATAATTTGGTGCAATCTCGTCGCTGGACGTTGGAAATCCCCTATGTACGTACGGAATATTTCATAGAGAGGAGAGCAAGAGCATATCGTATGAATTCGCGCGAGCCGGAAAAAGTCCGTGATTCGCGGATAAAAACATTAGAAGATGTAAATTCATACTTCCAGGTCCCTCTTGAAGAACTTTTACGTAGAAATGAATAGGAGAATTAATTCGTGCTCAATCAAACGCGACGTGACTAACTTTCTCCCGATTTGGTTTTTCTTTTTCCGCGGTAGTTAAAAGTGGCACGGCGAAGGGAGCTTTTTCCAATGTTCCATACGAGAAAACAGCGTGCATTACATTACATACGTATGTATAAATTAATTTAATTAATTAAAATATAAAAACATTCGTGATAATAACAAAAGGATAATAATAAAAGGAGCAACAAACTCGCGATATATTTTTTGCATTTTCGCGAAATGTGGACGCTGTTTTCTCTTTCTTATTGTACGTCGCATTCACGAGAAAACTGTAAATCACAATCTCGCCGTCCATCGCTTCGGAAGATCAGTTGTAGCGCGACTTCAGTTAGCGCTAATTCTGATTCACCGTCTCTACGTCGTAAATAACACTGCAATCTGTAAGGAATATGGAATCGCCGAGCCACGAGTTCATTTTACTTTGTTTTTCCTTTTCCCATTTAATCGTAAATATTCATAAATACTCACAAGTACTCAGCATTAGCATCAAATTATACAAATTCAAAACACTTGCTATTTCTCCTTTTAAGATACATACATAGTATCTTGAGAAAGATTTGAGGAGAGATAAATCACGTTGAAGCAAAACGCATCGCCCGTTTTGACGCGAACGTGACTTTATATCGTTCGATCCCGCGACCTTCACGCGTAATTCGTCGACCTCGCGCACGCGATGTACGCGTCCGTTCCTAAATACAAGCCCACGTAACGGGGTTCATTAGTAAATGCTCCGAAAGCACGATATATCACGACTCGTCGATGGTTTTCAGGCTCGGCCGAAAGCTACGTAGAATTTTTCAAACGTAAAGGGACTTGTATAATAATTGTCACTTCGATATTATTACTTCAGTGAACGGTTTTTAATCGTTTTTTAAAGGTTTTTATTCTCTATGACTTTTTCTTTTCTGACGAAGATGTCTCATCGAAGAGGAATGCTCCCTTCGCTCGGTATCGCCGAGCGCGCCGAAAAATTCGATTTACGCGTGCACGCTCATCCGCGCACCATAATTACATCCCAACCCTTTCGTCTCGAGCGAGAGAACAAGCGATAAAATCTACCGTGACGCGATCGCCGGAGCGAACGTCGCGCACGCTCAATTATCGCTTCGAAACGACCGTCCTGTCCTCTCGCGCGTTTTTGACAGCCGTCTGTGTTTACCAACAAGGGACCGGCCATTTTTCGGACGCGCGTCCAACTAATGTAGCGCGTATACACAAGGAACCTATACCCTACGTGCGTACGTAGGGCGTAACCGTCGTGCAGGGCGCAAAACTTCACGCCATACCCTAACCCTGAAAACCCCATGACGTTCCGCCGCGGGCGACAGACAGACAGAGAGGGAGAGAGAGAGAGAGAGACGCTGGTTATCCCGTCGGAGAGAGATCTACTCACCTTCCGGATACGCCTGCTTGCTCTGCACCAAGTCGATGAACATATTCGTCACATTGTACAGCTGGCCCATGCCCTTCGGGTTGAACTTCGTGGTGGCGTTGTAGGGCAGCCCGGCGGTGTTGACCGTGGAGTAGCTGAGCGCCTGCGAGGCCATTATCTCGTTCAGCTGCCGGTCCAAATCCTCGCTGATCGCCCGCATGCGGTTCGTCAGACTCTCCTGGCAGAACACCGGGCACCACAAGAACACGAGCGACGCGAGCCATACTCGGAGAAGGAGCACAGGGACCGTGGCCGTTGGCCTGCGAGATTCCGCGTGATACATCGTGCGACTCGCGCCTGGGACGCGCCGCTACCGACTGCTGCTCGTTCGGCCCTCGTTCGCCCATAGCGTCATCGTCGCCGACCGGGCGGAACGCCGGAATCGGACCGCGCCAATCAGCCGTCCCCGTTCTCTCGCGCTCACGACGCGGTGCGCCGCTACGGGGCGCTGCGAGATAGCAGCATCCGCGGCTGGCGTAACCAAGTCTGCGATGCAACGGAACCGAGCGTCGTTTTCTATTGCACTTCCCCGAGACGGGATTACTCGAGCCGAAATTTGCAGGAGTCCTGATGTTTTGATAATCGTGAAACGGAGTTGAGTTCGAGTAAGTCTACCACCTGAGAAAGTAATATAACCGGTCGATTATACGTAAAAGATGAATAAAGTTACCGACGCTGCTTCGGAAAAGAATAGATTAAGAGTGCAGTTAGCGGCGATGAAGTTACGTAGTGTGAATAGCATTTCTGAATCTTGAGGAAGCATTATACGATTGCAAGGACTGATTAGATACTAGCGTGTTATCGTGACACTTGAGCTGACACCGATCTAAATGAACAGAAACGAGACGAATTTAGTCCACCGCTTAATTACCGGCCGATCCACTATTCAAAGAAACGAGGAACGGAGGGAATCGTCCATGTCCACCCGTTCCGCTAAATTAGCGCCATGTCCCGGGCCGAGTCGTTTACGAAGTAAACGCGCGCGCTCGCGTTCCGTTGTTTTATCTCGTCGGCGAAGATGTTTTACACAGAGTCATCGTACTATGCACCCGATGTCATCGTGAAACGTGACAGAGTCGGATGAGATAAGAAGTTTCGCTATCGCGTCATTGATTTGCACGAAGCGCCGATGAATAGGCTAAATTCAAATCTCAGTTGTGAATGAAGTAAATATGGCGGAGTGGGGAGAGAATTATCTTAATATAAGTTGACTAAAGGCTCGTTACCGCCGTGCGTATCACGATAGACTGGCCAATTTTGACAATCATCGTCAGTTGTAGCGAGTCGAGTCAGATAAGACGCGATTTATCGGCGAGATCGGACAGGCTGAATCCGGGTCTCGTTCGCTGGTGAGACAAATTTGGAAGGAGGGAGTGGGAGACGCTAGGAAATTGACGAAAATCTTGTCACTTTCGTGTGTGTCACTATCGAACGAGATCGAATTCGAAGATGTGACTAACCTCAGAGGTAGAATTGGGGATATAAATATATCGATGTAAGGCCAATCTTGAACAAGGATTTCGTGTGTCATGTATTGTGATAAGATTCTCATTTCGTAGAAGTAGTCACGCGTATATACGCGTCTTACGTAGAACATATAGAAAATGGCGTAAGTGAATAAAACTGATCTCTCTCGTAGGTAACATGGAAAATGCATCCGGTATTTCGTTCGGGGCGACGAAAACGACGGAGATTGGTATGTTTCTTTTCGTTTTCTGGGAAAGGGCAACTAATTACTGGAAGGATTGTGCAAGGATACGTCTCTTCCTGGAAGAGTGAGTAGTAACTTATTACACGTATACAATACATATGCGGATAATTGTTAATTTATATATTTGGCTAACACCTTGTGGAAAAATGACACCTCGTTACAGTGTCAATGGCAGCTTCTTACGCGATAATAAGCGTTACATTTTTCTCAGCGTAACAGTGATGCTTCACGTAGAGGGAAAGCGAACTCGTTGCGTGCCGTGATCACTGTCGTGAAAGATTACCGTGAGAATCGTGTACAGTAATGCTAGAATCCCCTTACAAAAGCGATTGCGTCATAAGTTTTATGACCGTGACGCTTGCGTTTATTTGAGCGCTTCTTTTTAAGACTTTCATCACCTATTCAGCGAATCTTTATCTCAACTCTGCACAACATCTGGTTTTCATTTCCGGGGAAAAAGTCGAACTTTAACAGATGAATGCATAATCGATCGATCGCAAGCTCATTATTCGTATTAACGTGCTAGAATAGCTAGAATAGAAATAATCATTTTTGCAGTAAATTAATTGAACAAGAAATATTTTTTCACACAGACTGGACAGATATTAACAAAAATTAATGACAATTTTCTGTACTATCTTGATGAAATTACAACAAATGGATTTTTTTACATGTTCCATTTTATTAATTTACGACACAAGCGCTAAGGAAAACAAAAGTGAAGAATGAAAAAATTGAGATAAAGAAAAATCATTTTTATTAGTGTTGTGACTTCCTGCTAAGAATATCTTCTAAGAACGTCGTTAAGAAAACTGTTGTTAAGCGATTGATATCGCATTGCGATAAGAGAAATACTGACTGGAATCGCGTCGGTTGTAAGCATGCCATCCATCGATTAGATCCCGAGAGTACGATAAGAGCGATTTTGTTTGGTCAATTCAAGTTCTCAATGCGCATCGTTTCTCATCGCGCCGAATTCTAGTGGCGCAGAATGTGCAGCGAAATCGGGGTCACGACTTCACGACATCGAAAAGTGCATTTCTATCACGCGAGGGCCGTTGCCTTTTGCCGCGGTGACCCGAAAACCTGCGACAGGTTTGGATAAAGGTTCCGTTGAAAGCAGGAAGAACGAAGGATCTCAAAGAAAAACGAATAAAAGTTGAGTGAAATTAGAACGGTTCTTTCAAACGAAGTTCTACTTCGATTGGTCGAATTTTTTTATATTCTCCGGGGTACACACAACTTTGGAAAATTTCAGCACCAATTCTGCATATCAATTTCGCAAGATTTCCTTCACGTACTGCTGTTACATATATTAATTTTCGCTTCCATCTTTTCTCTTCTTATCTTTCGTTCTCCGCAGGAGAATAAGTTTCGCCGATTCCTATAAATCCGAACAACCTCATCTGATGTTCGCGCGAGCAACGTTGCCGGCCATAAATCTTGCTTGCAAAGTGCATTTCGATTTCAAATTTATGGCGAACGAAATGAATTCCGTGGCGCGTATATATTTTGAAAGAATTGAGACTTATATTATATTCTTTTCGTGAAATCGGTGGAAAAGAAAACAGATTTAAAGACAGTGACCCTTGAATTTATCACGGATGGATTGAATTATGCGCCGAAGCTGTAAATCTCGAAGAGGTAAATATTAAAATTCGGGAACTTTTCTAGGATTCGACATACATTCGTCGCATTTTTATCTTGTATGATGAAAAATCACACTTCTTCAACGATAATATTAGCAACAAGATAATGTCTCGAATATCTGTAAATAACGTCATTGTAAAGATCAGTTTTCGGTCCCTCTGTAATTCAATCTCCTGATAAATTATTTGTCCTTCATGAAACGTTTAAAACAAATCTTTATTTCGATTAATCTGTAATGTATATCGATTTAACTCTGATTAAATGATGTACCACATTGATCGAAAGTGGTAAGTACGTAGATCACGTATCGGTCATTATATTGTATTTAAATTGCTGGTGATCAAATCTATATCATCGAGATGTTTGCGAATGTTGATAAATTAGTCTATAAACCTAAAACTCGATAAGCAACTTGAGATATCGGTGTGATAAGCGGCATATTTATCAACCGATTACCCTCTGTTCCCATTCGCATAATATATTTTATTTCATTCGGTGGATTCTAACTTGCAGCTAAGCGCAAAATAAATATAAAATATGTCTACATGATAACATAATCGTGCTATGGTTTGGAATGTATTTCATTAATATTAATGGTGGTGACGCTTAATCGATAACGGCGATCTTTTATGATAGCTGAAGCATAAAGCTACACAGTATGAGGAATGTAATGCCACGAAAACCGCATCTAAAAATAGCACACGCTAATCGTGCACGTCGTATGCCTCTTTTGGGTTGACGTGAAAATCTATCTTACCTTTCATGCCACATTTTAAACACGTAATAATGTGATTATGTATTTTCTCGCTTAATGCGTGTCTCTGTACTTTCTTTCGAGCTTATTCACGTAACTGGATTAGTCGTTTGTCGGCCAGACAATCAGATGGCCCGATACGGTAATTCGAAGTGGGTTATTATTCTGGTGGTTAACTCTACCTGATGACTACGCGAATTCAATTAATTTATCATTACTTAATCTATCACACGGCGAGATGATGAGAAAATGATTGTGCCTATGAAAATATAATATGCTTGTTATTTTACGTAAAGGTATCTCGCGCGTGTAAAATTGAATTCCTTGGAAACCTGGCGCAGATAGGTGTGTGTAGATAATTTAACAGGCTCATTGATGCATTATTTACTTACGCTTCTTAAATACGAGGTCTAAAACATTAACAAATTCATCGCAACGCTCCGCCTACGCCGAACTCAACATTCCCGCGCTTTCGCGAACACGTAGGTAGTGAACGGCGATACTCGATAAAAAGGTAAAAGTAGCCGGGGTTCGGAAAACTTTCCAGTGATTTTATCCGGGAATTGAAAGTACCGAGGACGAATTAAGAAGCGCGTAACTTTAAGTAGCGTGACTCCTCGATTTAATGGGCTTAGGTAATTCCTTGGCGACACTCGCGGATTCATTGGAGAGAATTCCGGGCATTTCTAATATCAATGGTAAATTCGGATCTTCTTGCGGATTCATCCAATGACTCATCCTGTAATAAAAACAAAATCGATGATCTCAGTAGGCACGAAATAATCTTATATGCTGATTAGCCTGTCGGATAAATTATATAATTTATGACGTAGTTTCGTGAATTTTATGATATATACACAGAGAAAAATGTTTCTTTAGATTTAATATATGTGTTTGCTTTTTACTTGGATTTGTTTAATATAAATAACAATTTAACATTAAGTATCTTCTTTGAAAATGTTGTATTATTAAAATGAATCATGTTGTTTGATGGGAAAAACAATATTATTTAGAATAAGTAAAAAAGGTTTCATGCTTTCAATAAAAAAATGTCATTTTAATATATATTAAACATTATTCCACTGGAATAACAAAGTTCTTTAATATGTTTCTAACGTAGTGTTACTTCTTGCAAATAATTTATTGTTTGTGATCATTATTGTAACGTTCGGATGAAAATGTAAAGGAAATATGTTATTTGACATAAAGAAAAATATTTATTGTTTGAAAAATCAAACAATCTTGTTTGTAAAATCAAACGTTCGTTTATTTACTCTATTCCAAAAGACAGATTTGTTTTAAAATTAACGAAATTTCATTAAATCCAAGAAAATCTTTTTCTCAGCGTACGAATCAATGAATTTTAAATCGTTTCGAAATTGTTTAATTTCGAATTTTATGAGAGATAGGAAGTAATTTTGTTGAGAATACCGGCGAAAATACGTGCGTTTGATATTCCTAATGAAACAGGCTTCGGTCGCTTGTGCGATCGATCGATTGCGCAAGACACGTAGGAACAGTGAGATCTCACCTCGGGATCTCAAGGTGACTACTCATGCAAATAGAATTGAAAAAAAAAATACCTGTCGGGAACGTCAGCCGATGCAATGCTCTCGACAAGTGGCGAGAAAGCGCCTTCGAGGTCGTCCACCACGTCATCTCTGTTATTATCGTAATCGGTGGTCACGAGCGTAGACGACAACGTTGTCGTAGTGGTGGTCGATTTACTTTCGTTGCGTTCGATCGTTTTAGAATCCGGCATAGAAACGTCGGTAATTGAATCATCGGTAGTCGCTTCCGCGGCAATCTTCTCGGAGGACGACAGTCCTCGATCTTGTACCAATATCCCCTCGGCTACATTATCGTCTGTCGAATAATGATTGCTCTTGGGAATTTGGTCGACAACTTCGCCGGGATATCGATGCAGCACGTTCTTCTCGTAATAATACTGCCCCGGTTTCCTGGTGACCGCTACATTGTTTCTCGTCTGCTGCACCAACGGCCTTGGGACCTCGCTGGTGACCTTGTACTGAGATATGTATCCGGAATGACCAGGATGATGAATGGTTTCGACCGCCTCGGTGACGATCGTGACGCTTTGTACCTTAATTGGTCTCGGATTAAAACCTCCTTCTTGCTTTTGTGCATAGAAGTCGATCGTCGAGACTTCTGGCCAATGTGGAGTTGGAGTTGGTCGATTCTGCTGCGGAGTGTTGTATTGCTCACTTAAGCCAGGGCTGTCAGGATTTTTGTAGGCAGGAAGGAGCCCATCGATCGATTGTTTCTGATAAGGGCCATGTGATTGGCCATCAGGCTGGTAAACAGGTCGATTCGTTGTTGGTTTCTGGTAGAACGAGGAGCTATGCGGCGAGGAGAAAAACTCACTCTTAGACGAAGTGCTGCTTTCTTTTGAGTAAGACGAGACTTCCGTCCAACTGCTTTGATAAGTCGGAGTGGCGTCAGGGTACTTGTCGTAATTGTTGCCCGCGGTGGATCCCTGCGAATACGTAGGGGATGAGTTACCCGGCCTCGTGTCTTCTCGATGAGGAGGAACATTCGTTCCGGAATTTGTGTAAAGTCCACTTTGCGGTTTGACACCAGGTCTCTTCTGGTACGCGTCAGGATCGTCGTAATCGTACGGTCTCTTTTGGTAGCTGTTCAAGTTCCATTGATGTTTGTTCGGATCAGCGGAGTAATTTTCGCTCGGCCGATCGCTCAGGTTATTGTTATTTTGTAAGTGCGAATTTCCGGCACTGCCTGGTCTCTGCGTGCTGTACGATTGATAATTCGCCGTGGAGCCTGGCCACAAGTTCACCAGAAGTCCACCGTACGCCGGTTTCTGCGTGTGATACGATTCGTCGTTCGGTCGCGACGTGCTCGGCGGCGTCGGCCTACTGTAACCCGGCTTCTGTCCGTGATGCGACTCGTCATGCGATCCGCCGTAAGTCGATCCGAAATTCGGCCGCGAGATCGCTGGAGAAGGCTTCACTCCGTCGTAACCTGGTTTATGATACGATTCGTCGTCGTCGTTCGATACGTAATTCGGCCTAGAGTTCGGCCACGTGTTCGTCGTCGGCCTCTGCTCACTGTTCGACTCGTAAAGGTGTCCCGAATTCACCATTTGAGGTCTCGGCCTCGCGTAGCTGAGATAAGCCGGGAACGAGTCGTGTTCGCGATGCGGAGATCCGTAATTGATCAAGTAACCGTTGACCTCGTGACTCGGCGTCTGAGTGGTCGGCTTTTGTTGGAAATTCGTGTAATACGTGTACAACGTAGGTCTGGGGCTGCTGGGAGAGTAGCTGTCGTAGAAGACCTGATCTTGGGCGGGCGACTTGTAACCGTAAACGAGCGGATTCGGATTGCTGGGATCGTCGTAAGCCTGAGGCACGTACGGGTAACCCGAGTGCGGAATCGTCGTTGGTATAGGTTTCATCGGTGGTCGATTCACTGGATAATTACTCGCGCCGTGATTCAACACGGAGATCGGCTTGACGGTGGTCCGTGGCTGTATCTTAACGCGCGATCCATAAATACCGTCATTCACGAAGACGGGCGAGTTCACAGCGTTGTTTTGCACCACGATCGTCACGTTGTCCGGCCGTCCGATGGGTCTCTTCACGATGATCTTGTTGTTCTGATTAATACTGCTCTTGAAAGGCTCCTGTGGCGGCGTGATCTTCGCCTGTTCCCGATTAACACTGATTTTTCTCCTCATATACGTGTTTTCTTCCTTCGAGCGGGAAACAGGAGGACCGCTCGGATCGCTCGCCGTTCGCTTCATCTTCGCCTGCGGATTGAATCTAAACTCGAACGACCGTTCGGCCCAAAACTCGAGGTCCAGTTGGCCGATAGTCGGGTCATGGCATGGCAGACGTCGGTTCTTCAACGTGTCCGCCGCGAGCAAGACGAACGGCTGTATGGTTTCGATGGCGTCCATCGTTTTGCACAGCACCTGTGCCAGAGTGGCTCGTCGAATCTGCTGCAGCTGGCCAGCAGTGAAGCTGCTTTCGCTTTCGGGGTTCTCGTACCAGAATCGATCGCCGCGCCGCAAGTTGCTGAATTGCTGGCCGATTATGCAGGCGAGAGTAGGGCCGACTAGACCGCCGACCACCGACTTTTCCGCTAAGCCGGCCGGGAAGAGATCGATATCCTCCACCGACGCGTAAAGCGATTGGAATTTTCTCGCGGCGCTCTGCGACATCATCCTCTCGAGATCCTCGAAGGTTCTTATCGGCGACAAGCCACAGGGCTCGCGCCATCGCACGTAAGGCGGCAGACCGTGATCCCGGCCTCTCTGAATATTGAGAGAGGCCAGATCCATGCCGAATGCGAAACTGGGAGTCTGAAAAAGGTGATTCGTCATCTCCTCGCTTATGAATTCGTCCCTCCGCTGGCAGGGCTGATTCGCCAGACCCAGGACAAGGCGATCGACCGAGCCCGCAGTCTCCAGGTTCACTGGGTTCCTGAACTCATCGTGGATCGAGACATCTGCAGTAATATTATTATTATTGTTCAACTTTATTCACGGGAATTCATCCCTTTGGCACAGCGCTATTACACAATGTATATATATATATATATATATATATATATATATATATATAAAGAGCGACAGAAAAGAAATGAAAAATATTTATCAAATATATAAAAAATAGAAACTAAAAAGTATGATAAGGAAGAAGAAATGGGTAAATCCTCCTCTGATTTAATTGCAAAAACAAAATATATGACATATGTAACAAAAGAAAAAAAAAACGTATCATGAGAAGCTTAAATTTAGATGACTAATGATAGCACCTTTAAAAGAGGATGATGATATGATGAAAATTGATATTATTATTAAGATCATTAGCAAACAGGGAGAAGCGATTTAGTAGTTTCCACCAAATATAAAACGTACAATACTGACCAATATGGAGAAGTGGGAAACATCTAAGAAACTTGCCGGGTTAAATTTAATTAAGACTAAAATATCAGGATACAATTAACTAGGCTCTTTAATATTTTAAATAAGAACAATAAGTCCGTAATGGTTCATCTATCTTTATGAAACAATTGACCCAATTCGATCCGATTCAATGGGTAAAGATAAATTTAATCATTGGCAGATAATTGGCTTATCCAAATAAAAACTGACCCGTTTAAGAAAATGATTTTAAATGCGTTCAATGAGAACCGAATAACAATTCTGAAAAGGGTAGCAAATTGTAAAGCCGAATTCAAGGTGTGGTCTGACCAGAAGATAATATAAAATTGATAACGTCCGAACATATTTAGTTGATTTTTTTATTAAAGAGGAGAGAGAGAGAGAGAGAGAGATGCCATTCACACACAATGATCTTTAACTTAATGAAGTTCAACACGACCGTAATTATGCTGTAAACATCGAGACAATTCTATCTCTTGCGACGTTTGCGAGCAATTAATCTGTGTGTACAACTGCGACGCGGTAGAACGCGCTTCGTCGCACGTGTCTCGCGAGTGTTTACGTTTATAGTTCTGCTCGCGTGCACTTGTCGCCCTAAATATATTCATATTCCCTCCTCATAAATAATTGATATGAGTATTTCCCCGAGATCGTACGATTTGTTATCCCTCCGCTGCGTGTCGAGGTAACACGTGAGAATTCTGATCTTACTCACTGTTAAACAAGGGCCTGTGATCGCTGTCGAATCTCACGAAACTCCGCTGAACCAGCGAGTGACCGAATCGATAAGCTGCCGTGGAAAAAGCGTTCGCGATGTTAGGATTTACAGCCGGATCGTAGCCTTCGTAGTAGCCTTTCTTCAGGACTTCCAGGTCAAAGATTTTCATTACCTGGGGACCTGGAACAGCACGGCGCTCTTAGAGACCGTCGGTTTCTCTCTCTTAATATTTACAACACCGCCGGCGGTTGTCGCGGCGTCAATGAATACGGTAACGGACGACGTGGGTGAGGTAGAAGTTCACTCACCAAGAATGATCGGCAAGAACTCTCGATAAGTTATATGCTGAACCACGGCGCCGACGATCCTTCGCGTCTCTTGAAAAAGTTTCTCGTCGCTCCAGTGGGAGTTGAGCGCGGACAGTTCGGTGGCTATCCTGTTGTGCAGTCTCAGAAAGACTATGTGCAAAGATGTGAGAGCCGGTTGCTCGCTGAGACGTCCGTCGCCCGCACGGAAGCAGGTCGTCGACAGAGATCCGAGTTTGCATAGATCGGACTCGTGTTTCGGTAGCAGAGGTCTGCGCGACTGAATCTTCCCGTACTGCAGCAAGCCTGCGGGGAAGGGGGAGGAAAGAGTGCGTTTAAAAGGATTCGCGCAAATGGAGAATCGAGAGGCACTCACCGTTACGGAACAACCTCAGACTGTCGCTTTGCAGGGCGTTACTGCTGTAAACCATCGAAGCATCTAGGTAACTGGTCACCTGAGACAACTGCTCCCTAGCGCCGAATTCGCAACCCTCCTTCGGGGCCGGGCCGCTTCTGAGGAACTCCAGACACCTGACGCCCAGGGGACCGTAGAAGCTGTCACGTAAATTCACCGCGATCGGCAGACACTCCGGGTGCTATCGGCATTCGTGCAAAAGTATACAGTACCGCGCTTCAGGTCCGTCTTTCCTCACTGGGATACGTCAAAACGCGAACGCTTTTTCGAATGTAAGAAATAGGTCGGTTCGTAAATCCGCGATTTAACGCGCCGCTTGTGTCAAAAATACGGTGGGGAGATTTAATGCGCAACGCTCGACAGGATGTGGAGAGCTCGTCCCTTTAGAAATCAAATGTAAAATGAAAATTGGAGAGGGTCACTTTGTTCGTTACGCTCGTTACCATAAATTCAGGCGGTTGAAATCCGACACCACCCGGTAAGCAACACTGCGGCACCGTGCCGTTGAATCCTCTGCTCTGTCCGGTCGCTGTCGATACAGTAAATATAATTACACGGCCTCGAAGAGATATATGGAGATATGTGGTGAAAAATGAAGAATCAAATCAATCCTTTAATGACACACCTGTCAAATCATGATCCACAAACTGTCCCCATTGCATCAGCATATGTGTGATGGAAGCCAGAGGTACGTCTTGATCTTCGTGGATTAGGCTCGTGATGTCTCGCGCACTTGGTAGCGGCCTCCCGCTCGTCGATCTTCGCACGCTTTGGACGTCATCGTGATATACCGCCGGCAAAAATCTGCAGGGTTGTCAACATTTTTCGTGCGCGATAGATGGGGCGCAGGTTCTTTGTTATATCACTTCGACATTCGGGACATTCTTACATCGAGCTTTTCGAAGCTTCGAATTTCGCCGCTTGCGCGTCGCTTTTATCATTATTATTATTATTCCTTACCTCTGCATCGTGGACATCGCAGAGCCCCACCAGAGATTTTGCAAATTATTGCAACTGCCGTCGGAGGTCCTGTACCTCAGGCTGGCCGGAGGGCATTGAGGTGTGCCTCGTCGCGGGCATTGTTGCTCCAAAGAGGTTCTTCGAGTGCTCCGTGATAAAGGTAATTCTAACGGCGCGCCGGGAAACCTGAGGAAAGAACGGGCGAGGAGTAGAAATAGACGCAAAGTTTTCCGCGAGATACAACTGTCCGGGTGTCATCGATCGGCGTTGCCGAGCTTACCGTTACCCGCTACGGAAACTTACTTTTTCAGGTACATGGCGGTGCCTTGAAGAGTCGCATAGCCGAATCTCGCCAGGTTCCTCGCCTCGTCCGACTGTTCGTTAAACGCCGCCACGTATCTCGCCGGTTCATCCTTCTTCAGATAAAGACCTATATTTTTGTTTCGTATCGTATCATGAGAACTCTTCCTCGCGATTGCGAATAATGTCGCTTAACGTGACTTATTATGGGCGGGGGAGGGGGGGGGGTGCTTCGCAACGAATCGAATTCGTCCTCTCTTTCAATGCTTACCCATCGAGTACAGTTTCGGCTCCTGGACGTAATAAAGATCGTGCATGGCTCGCAGTCCGAAATTCGCAGCCTCCATTAGATCATCCTCTCCGAGTTGCCACTCTTCTTCCTCGCCGTTGCGGCTCACCGCGGTGTGATTTTCAATTCTCAGATTAGCGGATTTCACGACGGTCTGCGCGATCACGCCGGTCAGTCGTCTGCTTGGGCTTTCGTCTGGCTTTTCGGCGAAGTTTCCCTTTCCCGTTGAAGAAACTCCACCGGTGTTGGAATCCTTGTCCGGCGCGGCACTGTCATTTCGTACCCGAGAAACTTCCGCTTTCCGTGGCGCGTTACTCTTCACTTTAGCCGACGATTTCGTCACGTTGCCCTGGACACCCGTGTTTCTCAGCGACCTCACACTCGAGGAAGGCCCCTCTTGGCGAGCGAGCTTATTTTCTGTCTCTTTATTTTTCCCATTTCCCACTTCCTCTTCCTTTTCTCCTTCGACTGGATTCGTTACGACGGAGCTTTCAGAAACACGCGATGCGTTCAAAAATTCATGTCGGATTCCATCTCGTATCTGATTCGACCCTTTCGCGGCCACGTACGTGATTCCGTCGGAAATTCCCGGATGTAATACATCCGTTACTGCCTCTGTCTCTCTCACCGGCGACTTGTGCACGTACTTCGGACGCGTTGCTTCGATAGGATACGTAGTGGTATTTGCCTCGGTTTCCTGGATACCTCGAGTTAAAGGATTGTAGTCTGATGAAATATTTACTCCTTCCCTCGTAGTGTCCGTTGACGCGAAAAGCGATTGCTCGTCCTTACCGGAAATTGTAACTTTGAGATTCGACGTTTGAGTTTCGACATAGGATTCTTCTTTATCGTTTTCGTCTCTCGGCCTCGATGACAATGCGCAGGAAGAGAGGAAAGAGAGGACGACGCTGACAAATAAGATAACAATTGTTCGTTACACTGTGACGTATCAAATGAGACGTTAAATAAATATAGAAAAATCGCACTTTCTGTAATGATCTGAAAAATAATTTGGAAAGCTTCGCATTTCCAAAATTTTCACATCTATATTAACATTATATTTTATAGCTGTTTGAGGGGTTTTATATTTTTTTAAATCCAATTAGTGAAAATGTCACTAAATGAATCCGTGGAACAATATTATAATAAAGTGAGTATCCATTAATTTTTCGTGGAAACCCTTCTACTCGGTTCTTTTGTCCAATACTTCATTGATTCTGACCAGTGAAAGATTCATTACAAATCGTTATTACGCGTCTCATAGCGAAACTATATATACATATCGTATATGCGTTCAACCATATATCGTATTTGACGTAATTCATACGGTAGCAGATTCAAAAGCTAACGGTTTTGAGTTCAAGTCTCTCACGTGGATAAGCGTGTTTTCCAAGTATGATATAAATTAAATCAATTAAATATAGTTAATAATATTTCAGGCAAAATCACTGACAATATCTTAAGAGTATGATTAAGATAAAAAAAATCAGTAATAAATAACATCTTTTTTCACTGTTTCTGTACTTAGATTTTTCCAATGGAAACGGTTGTTGCTTAACCGGTTTTTGCGGCGAACTTTTACTGATTTGCAATGACATATATTATAACTATGATCACTAGTGACTGTCGACTACTTCTCATTGTGCCGATTATACTTTAGAAAGTACGATATCTCGATAACGGTTTATCACTCATTGCGATATATATTTCGATAACGTTTGTGCGTATACTCCGTAACGATAAATTAAAAATGACACATTTTTAACATTTTTTCCACACACGACATTGACCTTATCGCAAGCCAATCTGCATAATCAAACACGAGTGTTTCATTCACGCTCGCGATACGACGCTTGCGAACAGCTATTTATCGCGCTACAACTGCTTTCTCTGTTCCTCCGCGTTTTTTCACACAATGTAATATTTTAATAAATATTTAAGGCCCTGCGTTCTCTCGCAGGATAATCGCGTAATCATTCACTATTATGATGTTACCGTCGGTTCACACAGGGAGCATCACACCCATTATGTAAATTGAATGTCACGATGTCGTGACATTAAAAACTAATATTATATTGCGTGAATAAAAGTCGTGGTATTTCCCGCGTCGCGTGAAAATAGGTCTCAATGCACAGTCGATACCACATTTTTTAATTTGACTGGACGATCGGCCGGAGCGACGATTAAGAACGGTCGACGACCTGCGCGTCGCGAGATAATGCGAGATGTTAAAGTAATAAAAAGGAAAACCGGACGCGGGCCGAAACATTTGCCAAATGAAGCTGTCGGCATGGTGTTCGTGGTGTTAGGATTGAGAGAGAGAGAGAGAGAGAGAGAGATATATATAACGGGACACCACCGGCTTGTGGAACGGCGAAGGCATAAAGAAATCATATTGACCTTGTTGAGTTTCTGGGGAAATCCTCGTGAATTTTAACAACGCATACGCGTCGAAAGTACCGGTGTAATGTCGCGATGGGTAAAAATACGCAGGATCTTATTTAATGCGGCGATTTCCAGATGTCGGTTCAACTAATCCTCAGGCGAGAAAATCATTCGATTATTACCGATACACCGAATTAATTCGAAGTTTCAGGGCAGATCTGCAAACGTCGTCGGCAAACATCGTTTATCTTTAAATTTTTGATCGCGCACAAAACGTTACATACCAGATGCAGCTCGCGATGTTCGCCCACGACGTTCGCGCGACTGCGAGGATTTACGAGGCGGGAACTACCGAATATATCGACTCACAGGGCTGCAAGGCGCATTTTGCTGCTCGGCGACATGTTGCACTCACAAGACTCGTCGGTGCATATTCGTCGATGCCAAGTTCGCGCGGAGGTAAAACCGTCGTGTCGAATGGACGCGGAAGAGGAAGAGCGCGAGAGAAAGAAAGAGGAGCAAAGGATGAGGTTGCGCGCGTGTGTGAATCGTCGAGGCGGCCTTCTCGAGGACGGTTAACCAGGTACTAACCGGCGATCAGATCGGTCGACTGGTCTTATCCTCGAGGAAGGATGGTGCCTCCGGGCAGCGGGCTTTGTTTTTTTTATTCGTCGACGCCGTCGTCGTCGTTTTTCTCAGCATTTTTACTGTTATACCGCTTCTTCGCGTCGTCTCCTGATTTCGACCGCCCGCTTGATCGCGCGCTAGTTTCGTGGACGAGGTCGTCCTGTCCCATCGTCCGAACGTCGCGGCAAGACGAGACGGGGGACCGATCTCCCTGTAATTGTCCGGATATTAAAAAAAGAGAGACAGAAAAAAGGGAGACAGTCGTTAAACGGCGTTAGACGAGTCGGAAGGAACGGATTATGTTGATTAGTGCATCGATGCCGGATCGATGTCTCTCGCGGACTGGTCGTTGGCCTTTAATTGTCGGTGGCCCGATAAGCTCGCGCTCGTTCCACTTTTCGTCGGAGACCTCGGCACTCGCTTGTCCATCCGCGCGATCACGCGACGAAGAGTTCCGTTGACTTCCGAAGTTTCCGCGCAACTCACGTGTCGTCGTGCTGCTCGCGCGCGCGCGCGTAACATCGTTACGTCGTCGCCGTCGCCGCAAGATACGCGATTCATTTCGCGTGCTGCAATTACAGTTATTAATTTACCTCGTCAGTGCCGGGCGGCTTTCTCCTGCGCTTGCAAGCTCGCTATCGCTTTGCCCGTGCCATAGAGCACCTTCGCGCGCACCTGGACCCTCCTCGTGGTCGTACAGGCCGTTCCAGAAGTGGACGACGAACTTCCGGTGTTGCCACCGGAAGTCGTGCCCAACTGCAAAGTGCCACCCGCGTAATTCGTCCCTCTGCAACTCGTGCAGCCCTCCGACATGATGCCACCGCCGCTGATATCGTTCCGTGCTATTGTTACAAAGCCGTCCTAAATGAACAGCAATTTCGCGATAATTGTAAGCTTGACGAAGAGTGACGTTTACGATGTTGGCTGACGGTTCATTTTGAGTACCTCAGATGTATTTTGTTTTTGTTCTTAACCCTCTAACGGTAAGATCGGATTCAACTTTATGCTGTTTTGTCCATTGTTCACCTAACTGATGTACAACATGTAAAAGAGGCAAATGATAACATGAGACTTCTTTCTCTGTTCAGTTCTGTAGGCGAAAAAATTCAACAAAGTTCACTAACTAACTTTAAATAATTGCGGTATAACACTTTGGAAAACGCTTCGGCGTTCTGAAAATCCATCTTGCCATTGAAGGGTTAATTTTTTCAAACCTTAAACTTTTAAGCCTTCGCTTGTTGTTATATGATACATAATTTCGAAAGAACGACAGCTTGAATTTGCTATTGTACATAATTTATATTAAGTACCTTCGCCTTTGCGAGTGATGCACAGTTTTTCGTGTTGAAGAAAGAAGTAACACGTACCGCGTATACTGAGCAAATGCAGAGGTCAGGGCGGCTTGAATAGGAGAACGGAAGGAAAGCATAAAACGCCTTTGACGGTTATAAGCGTCGTATTGTGTCACAACGTCGTTCATAATGCCGGACATAACCGTCACTGTCGGTTAATATATTAAGTGCCGCGTCATGTGCGTATATACGCGATTTTCTCTCGAGGACGAAAATTACAACTTCACGTCCCACGTCGCACGGTTGACGCGATTCTCAGCACATATATATAATAATAATCATTTTTAACTCATCGCGCTTCATTAGAGATACAATTTTCGCACTCCTCGTTTCCTTTGATCTTCAACCCGAACGATTTAATCGAAAGCGACTAGGTCGATCGATGGTTATAATTAGCGATCGGCGATAATTAATTAGAGCTCGTTACAGCGTCGCAATGACCGTCTCTGTTAGATCGAGATGTCCCTACAATTGAGCTTCTTTGGTAATCTAGAAATAACCGAGTTAACCTCGAGCCTTGCGCCTGTTATTAATTATATACGGCAGTTATTAATTACAGTTGGGTAATATTGCGCAATTGCAACACGGACGACTTTTTGCCATTTCTTCGCAGTTGAAGGCACGTCGGCAGTCTGTTATAATGTGCAGCGCGCGGCTCTGACCCGCGTGCCGTTCACCATAAATCCGGGAAAATCTGGGTTAATTATACTAATGGCAATATATGGCGAGCCTTCGTACCGGTGACCTTACCGGAAAAAGGCGAAACTCCGTAACTTCCTTGCCTGGTCTGTTAAAATGGATTCTACGAAGAAATGTAGTTAAGTGCAGAGAAAAAAGACGCAAAAATAATACGGGTAAGATTAATCGTACTTTTTACAGTATAATACACGGGCGCGTCTAAAGAAATCTCTGTCATATCTCAAATATTCGATCGGACGTGTTTGTGAGGAAATTATTCGTCTCCGTTGACCCTGTTACATTATGAAACATTTTATCGAGAGACACGACGAGAGAAGAACGAAAAAAAAAAAGATCGTCTCGCACGACTGCGCAATTATTAAAAGTTCAATAACACATTTTGACAGTTCGATTTCACACGTAGCTCCGGTTTGTTACATTTTAACGAGTCAAAATATAAAATCCTGCTCTCTCTCTCAGCGTCATCGATCAATGAAAAACTTACTAATATCGCCGGCGAGTTCTTTCAATGAGACAACTCGACCGTCTCCGAGCTCTGTCATGAACCACCCCGAATTATCGGACGAAACATCCCCCGAGGATCGATTGGTATCCGCTGCTTCGGCGAGGATTTTCACACAAGATTGGCAGCGATTCTGCAATCGCGACAGTCCGAAAAGCACGCGTCGCGCGACTTTTCGCGCCTGACTTCTTCAGCGCCTCTTTATATACCGCGGCGGTCTCTATCCGCGGGTTTTAAATCGACGACAAAGGACGTTATAGCGTGTCCGCGTCCACTGTGCGAAGGCGCCGAAGGAACTGATCGGCCGTGTTCCAAATAGCCGGTCGGTAGGCTTCACCGAACACTCGTCTCTCTTTTCTTCTTCTTCCTCCGCGTCGTGCCGGTCGTTTGTCGTCAGCGTCGTCGCCGTCGTCGTCGGGGTCGCCGTCTTCGTCGCCATCATCCATCATCTCGTTTGCAGGAGGGCGACGGAAATCGAGACTATTCAAACCGAATCCGGTTGACTCGCGGAAACGGCGGCAATCATTGAAACTACGAGTGCAATGTGTGTGTGACCCCCTCGATATCGAATTCAATATAGAAAGTGACGATTCAAATGTATCAGCCTTTGTACCTAGAATTCGTTTAGAATTTTTGATACTGAAGGAACATGGAAATTCTGACAACAAACGTAAGGAGAAATTTTATCTTGATAAAAAATCATTACCTTTATAAGAGATTACGCACAGATCTTTATTTGATTGATCTCGTTAGAGATTTATTTCCGTCGATCGCGAGGGTTTTTTCTTCTCAACGGTCACCCCTCAGGGTTAACAACTGCGCTGAAACAATGCACCTTCGCACACGTGTCTGCGAATACGTTCGATAAAGATTTTCCGCGCGCTGAAATCCATCCCCGGTCTATCTCTTTCTTTCTCTATCTCGATTTCTTTGCGCGGCTGACTCACGAATTGTAAAAGAGGGAGAACGAAGGAGGGCGAAAGGGTCGAGTGTATATTCGGAGAAGGAGGGGGTATTGTGTGTGCACACGAACGGGGAGCTGCGAAACGTAACCTTCGTTCGGTAAAAATTCGACCGGCGAGCGAACGGCCGGACCTTGTGCCCCGCATAATTCTTTCGCAACTCGGCTACAACACATGCACGTGCGCGCGCCGCGGCCCCAGAGATCCGTGTAAAATCGCGGTTCGCCAAGGTGGGATACGTGGCTGCGGTCGCCGGATGCGTTTCTGGGCCTTCGCGCCATCGGAGGGTGCCCGTGGGCAAAAGTGGGCTACCATCGGACGCATTGATAAGATCCTTGATTTTTGCTTCGTGTGAGAGGCGTAGGTGTGCGAATGAACTGTTGTCAGATTCGAAATTTTTCACACAGAGGGAAATACATAATAACCGCGCCGGCTCGAATCGTGCTCGCCATTGTGTCCTACGGCTGTCACGCGAGCCAAGTCGGCGTAATAATTTGATTGATACTCCCACCGCTCGTTGCATATTCGGTCGTTGGCCGAAATCGCCATTAATGGGATTTGTTTTGCAAATTTGCGCACAGCTTTGCATCAGAATGCGGGATATTGATCATCCTTCGGCGAGCAATTTCGGCCATCTCGAGACGGTCGCATTCGAAGAGAAGGAAAAAAAAAAGAAACGGATAATCGATCGACCGAAATATACCGTTATCATTCGCGTCTTTCTTTCGTCCGGTACGTTCGTTTCTTCGTTCGTTCTTTCCTTCTCTCTTCCTTCCTCTCCCTCTCTCGTGACGCGGCGCAATTAAATACCGAAGCGAACTGAGTCTCGGCCGCGTGTAGCGTTGTTGCGCTATCAGTATCCGCCGCAGTGGGTCAGTCAACAACGGGGTCAGCCGAGGGCGAATCCGGACTGCGGGTCGGCCAATCGCGTTCGTTCGTGTTCTCGCGACAATGACTATCAACCGTATACCCGTATTATACACCCGCGGACAGTCAAATTCGTGTCGGCGCTTCCGCAATGGCGTAGCGCCGGGGATTTGCCTGGGTCAGAGGTAGCCGAGATACCAAAGGTATCCTCCCCGGCGGAGAGCACAGTTTGGCGCCGGTGAGCGAGATCTTACTCGCGTACGTTAATTTCAGCGGATCGAGACGAGCGTCGTTGACGCGATTAATAAAGCCGACTCTGCGCAGTGTCATTATCGCAACAACAAGCCGGCATTACCGAAAACTTTCTCTTCTTTCCTAGCGCTTTAACGTCCACGGCTTCCCGTCCTTCCACGGGATGGCGTCAGCCTGTAATCAGAGTTATCTTAACGTTACGACGCTAACGTCGTACGGTCAGACCCGCGTGCGCAAAAATTTGCACGGGCGGAAACCCAGCGATGTGGCCGCGGCCACATTCGCTGGAAGAGCGGGATTGTAACGGGGTGGGGTGAGGGGCGGTAAATAAAGAGTAGGTGGCTCACGGCAAGACGAGAAACAAGACGGAAGTGGGTCAGCGGGACTATCGGTCGCGAGGGTCCGGGTTCTCGTCTCGTTTCGCGCGCACGTCTGCGACTCGCCGGAGGTGATGATGTTGACGGGACTGGGTACAGGTTGTTTCAGAAGAGATAAGAAGCGATCGTAAGTGAGAAAAAATGGGGAAAAGAAAAGATGGTAAGACGACGGGTGGTCGGTAAAAGAACAAGTGAGTCGATAAGAGGACGGGAATGTGTCTCAACGCGAGTTCGTAGAAAATAACGGTGGATTATACAAATTCATACTATGAAGAAGAGAGTTGTCGGCATTTCCTTATGTCCATCGTCGGGACGTGACGAACAATCGAGGCGAATACAATGTTACACTTTATTTCTCGTACGTTTCCGTCATACATTTTGTCCCCGACAAAAAAGAGGGGGAGAAGAGCCCAGTCGCAACAGAAACAAAGCCATCTTCTCTATACAAACACCATTCGCTACTGTACATAATTACTCGCGCACATCGCATCACTCGTCGTCTCGTGTTTCCTTCTCTGTTTTCTTTATCTTCGCCCGAGTGACGTTGCGCGTACACATTTTTGCTTCTCGATTCGCGAGGGAGGGAAAGGACGAAGCAGTTGGATAGATGGGAAGGTGAGGGGCACGTAAATGTCTTCGGTCGAAAATCAACAGTCAACTCACTGCGCCGTCGCGTAGGCACAACTATATATAATTACATCATTGATGGGTGGATCGTAGAAACGAGACCTTGCTTTCTCTTCCAAAATAATCTCTCTTTTAGTGATATTTTGTTTTCCTCTGTGCAGTCGCTCTTTCTCTCTCGCTGTTCTATATAATATTTACAAGTAACAATTTCGCAATCTCCATCGCTCGTGTTGCTTCCTTAAACTTCAATCGTAACGATCTCACTTCCTCCGCCTGTCGTCGCCTGATACTTATGACTAATCGGTTAGTTTACACTCAACATCGATAGACATTCACGGTAGTGTGCTAATAAAGTTTCTATCCTCCTCCTCCTCCTCCTCGTCAGGCCTCAACAATACGAGCGTGCATTTCTAAGGCGAAAAACGCGGGGAACACGGCAGGTGTGGCTGGTTACGTTACACGGTTGAGTCGACGCACCGCTAATTCGCGTGTTCTTCGCGAAAAAAAAAAAGTCAATCGAGTAGATTCGTTACGAAGCGCAAGTTGTATCTTCGAATCGGGGAGGTGGAACTACTACTATCTGTATCAATTTCTACGAGATTAGCGGGACGTACGCGAACTTACCCAGCGGGACCTGCGGTGGACACCGAAAAATTCGTCGATCTCTTTGCCACTTCGTGGATAAAAAAATATGTGCACCGTGTTTGATCTCGTTTAAACGCAACGGTAGTGTGGCCCCTCGGTGCACGATACTACTGCTCAATAAGCGTGAATATATCCGAGATTATGCCCGGATATACAGCGAAAATTGAATCTGCGACGTGAAGGACGGATTTCACGATAGACATCTGCGCGACGCAGTGTGCGTTCCTCGCTTCGACAGATCGATATTACGTAGGCTTTCGGCGGGCGACGTAACGAAATAAACAATTGATCTGTTTGCACTCTCAATGACACGCGCGGGGAGGGCTTTGCTTCGTCGTTCCGAGCGATTCGCGTGGAAAAGATTTCACTGTTCGATATGGCTGGACATGTTTCTCTCTCGGCCTGTTGTCGCCTTCCATTTCGCTCTTTCAGTCGAATCGTCACGTACATGCGCGTGTATGTATACTACGTGACTGATCTTACGACGATTAGATATGAAACGCGGATCTTCGGATGCTCGGAGGAAGTTCGTCGCGTACTAATATTGTGCAGTAATATTGTGCGATTGGGGTGTCCTCGGCACATCACTTTGCACTATGATACTTGTATTGGTATAACACATCGACCGCCGTAGCGTCGGTTTTCCTAGTCGGACGCACGCAGCTACGGGTACACATGGTAGACGACTGCGGCTCTTGAGAACTCCACCGCTAAAATTCGTTTTCTATGATATAATGAGATAGAGAGAAAATTAATTCGCTTTTTTTTTTATCTTTTTTTGATTGGATATTTTCTTCTCTACACGAGAGATCCTTTCGAGACAAATCTGGCTGGCCGTATCCTTTGAAATTGTTCTCTAAACCATAAAGAAAATCTTCATGAAGCATATATTCGGATGCGGAATAGTTTTTTTTTTTTCCGCAAGGAAGCAAACGATGCCTTCTCGTGATTTAGTAAGAAACGAAAGTTGCAGGTCGAAACGAAAAAAATATACATAACTTATTTATTGTATCTCTAGAAAATAATAGTAGCTTCAATAATACTCTTTGTTCTATTATGTACAACAGTCTATAAGCCTCTTGGTCTTAACTATACGTTAATAACTAACCGTAAAACAACACACACACTAGTTCAGAGGTGTTGTCGCTTTAGCCTTCCCAACTAAATTCTTAGACTAATTTTTCGTGTTGTCTTTTCACCGTTTCGAGTATCTTTTTTCCTCTCCTCTCGCCTTTGTTTCTGTCAACCAAATTTGTCGGCATTCTCAGAATTTATTTTTTTTACACTCTCCTAAAAAATATATCTTTTGCTCTAAGTCATCTTAAGACGATGCTACCAGACTTTAGGAACTTTCGCATTATTCTATTTTACATATTTCGCGAAATTGGAAAAAGAAAAGTATGTGTATACTAAGTGTGTGCGCCGGCTTAACACACACGTCGGGAACGCGCTCGAAATCATTCCATTTCCTTTTCCAGAGCCTGGTAACACGGATCTAGTCAAGCAAAAAGTATCGCGTACAATATCATGTGATAACGTTGCCGCGTTAGAACGCAAATGTTTCCTCATTACGGGCGTTTCGTAAACTTCAATAAGATAAATATAAAACTTTCGCTGACTTGGAGAACGATCATCCTTATTGCTTCGAGGTATCCGAGTACTCGACTAATATATATCTCTCTTGTACCAATCGTTCATCGCGAAATATCTATGAGAAAAGGATGTCGATCCTTATCCGTGAGTTTCTGTCAAGCGGGGCGAGCTTAAAAAGGGCTTTTCCAACGACGATATGTACTCGGACACGACGAGCCGCGATATAAGGAGCAATGAGATCTTATTAGCGCGTCATGCTTGACGACACGCCGGTCGAATAAAACATTGAGATCGATACGTAAAATATAACAGTATGTCTCGAGAGTATATATATATATATATATATATATATATATATATATATATAATTCTTTTACAAACTAACTATACAACATTTGAAGAATATTACAGATCGTGTTCGTGAAATCACGAATTTCAAACGCGGAATGTACACATCATCTAAATAGAACATATCCCTATTTCATCGGTCAGAGAGGTATTTATCACGCTTGTGATGACCCATCGAAGTTGCCCGCGTCGCCGTGACTAATCGAGAAGCATCGTTATATATAATTATACTTAATTATTCGTATTTTCGTATCTTCAACGCTCCGTTTCGCTAAAATTTGGCGCCTCATGAAGCGCATATCTATGTTTAAATCGCATAACGACGAGAGCAGATTAAAATATAATTGCACCAAATTGTCTCGCGTTAGGGGAAAGAGAGGGAGAGAGAGAGAGAGAGAGAGAAGGGATAACTAATTTAGCTAAAGTGTAAAATACGAAAGGTCGGTACACTTTAATAAGCGGTTTTTTACGAAGCTCGTTAGATCTTTCGCGGCTAATCTTTCGCTTATTCAAAAGGCCAAGCGTCCCTTTTTCTTTCACGCACGGGTCAAATCATTTCGTGAATATAGAGCTTGTTTCGCACGCAGTGACCCGATCACAAACGTTAAATATCGTAAACTGGAGGAAAAGTCGAGATAAAGAAATATCTTCTAATATCCAAATAATTTTTACGTAAACATACATAAAACATTGACAAAATATAGTAAAAATGGTCGTATAAATCATCGTTTGCAGAACTGTTTCTTCATTTCTAGATAAAATCTCTCTATCGATCGAAACATTTCTCTCCCTCGGTAGCACCGTTGAAAATATCCGACCAGGTCGCTTTGTGCGAGAGATACATTAGTGACGTTTACGCATATAGAAGTTTCATTTACAATGGTGGGAGAAAAAGAGAGAGAGAAAGATACATAAGATAGATTATTATTATTCACACAGACACCGCGCTTTACTTGTGCTATAAGTACGCAGTGTGCTTACTACTGTGCTCGAGGGCGGCTAGAACATCTTGCTTTTGTCTAACGTAGAGTCGTCCCTTCTTCCACGGGTTCTGCAATTGAAGGGGCTTAAAGTCGTCCCTTAAGCAACGTTCGCGCGCACCAATTACGGCAACTAAACAGAAGTTCGGTAGCTCGTCGGCCGTGTAGATAGGCCCCTCTTGACCCTTCAGCACCACCGCCATGTTCAATTGTTTAACAACGAGGTCCACGACCTCTCGCGCCGTCGTCCTTGGTGTTACGTGTAATTTCAAGCTGGTGCCGGCCGCCAAACCAGTCTCGTAGGCCGCGTAAACCTGCAATGCAGTATACGTATCTCTTATGCCTCTTCGTCTCGGCCATGTGCGCAAACTTACACATTCGAGAGAGAAGAAAGATCGAATGCACACTATCCCGCATCGATGCAGCAAAATGCAATAATTTGGATTAAATAGTGTATCGACCAATGCAACCGTAGATTAATATAGTGAGGAAAAAAAACAGCCCGAATGAAGAAATCTCGCACAAGTGTCGCGATATGTGTTATAGCTACGCATAATGTACAAACGGTGTGTCTGGAAGACTCCAGCGAGTAAGAGAGAATACTTGACATTAGACTTGCTCCAAAAAAAAAACGTTTCGTCACATTGCATCTTTGAAAGTTGTGTTCTTTTGATAAATGGCTCATTTAGCCATTCACTCTCGCAGTCCCATAGACACACTTTGCGCAATGAACGCACACTGAGAAATTGCGAAATACGTTAAAGCCGCAACAACAGTAATATACAGCACGATACTGCCAAGTAAAAAAGTCAGAATACCGCCGATAACTTGTGCCTTGCTGCAATATCTCCCGGCTGTGACTTTTTTTTTCCAAACTGTCGCAAAGCATCATGATCACAGACATGATTCACCTTCGCGTGGGAAAACAACTGTTACAGTATATATCACAACGATCATAATGATGATAATCACTTTTCATGCCGCGCTAATTTGGACACACTAAGCATAATGTTGAAAGCATAACCGAGCAGAGCAAGCGTTTGAGATTGAGCGATTTTGGCAGCTTACTCAATATGTCTGCTACATCGGTTTGCACTAGGGGACCAAGTGAGCTGTTTCTAATTATAATCGGGTTAGACTTGTGTTCCCTATAAGTGAAAAACATCATTTAAGAACTCTACGCTCGCGAATCCAGCGGAAGGATCATTTTCTCGACGAGAGAGATGTATTTCTAAAACAATATATTTAACGGCTCTAAAGATACACAATCCGAAAAAAGAAAAGGGCTAATAAGGAACAACGCTTGTTGGTTTACTAAACATTTGACAATGTAGAAATATTGGAAATTAAAAGGACGAACTTTGGTTTGTATTGCTCTCTTTAGCGCAATTAACAACGATAAAATACAACGATTTAAATACAATAATTAAAATAAAAAAAAATGGTAAGCAAGTAAGTCGTCGGGTCTCAATATTAATTTCGTGGTCTTCCGGTCTTGACGATGCGATCTGTTGCCTTTAAATATCAGGCTTAAAGATAGATGTTTGCCGCAAGCAACAACCAGTATTTTGACTCTTATTTCCCTTTTCCTTCCGGTATATTTCTACCGCATCTACCGCTAGTTGCACCAAATCACGAAGTAGGATAAAGTCGGTAGATCCTACCTGAAGGATACCCGGCAGAGGTGCCGGCATCATCGTCGCCTCCTCCTTCTCCTCGTCGTCCTGCGACGCGGTGGTGGCCATCGCCGCGACGCTCGCGGTCGTTTTCACTTTGACCGCGTGGCTAGGCTTTAAGACGCAAACGCTGGAATTCGGCGTGGTGTACTCGTCGCTGCTCAGCGAGTGCAGGCTGTCCGAGTTCGTGTTGCTGACGCTAAGCATACTCGTGGTGTTCGTCATCGCCGTGGAGACGCTCAGCAACGAGCCGCCGTAGATGATCGGCTTGATGCTCAGCAACGGGCTGGTGCTGGCCGACGCCGAGGTGATCGTGGCGGATCGGTTTCGCGGACTGTGCTTGTATTTGGTGAGGATCAGCGTGTCCTCGGACTTGGAGGGCGGGAGCCGTGCGTTCTGCAGCGGTATCAGGTGATTCGCGCTGCTGGTGGTCGTCAGATTGCTGCTGCTGCTCATCGGCGCGCACGACTTTTGCGGCTCCGAGCCCGTCGACACGTTCGACGTATTGCTGCCTTTGCGCACGTACTGTCCGCTGGGCAGCTGCTGCTCGCTCTTGCTGAATTCCGTCGTGAGGAGGTTGGACGCCGAGCTGGACAAATTGGGCCCTGGCCAACTGCCTCGGCCGGGGCTCGACTTTACGAGCTTGGGATCTCTGGGTGGTAGTTGCAACAGACTGCGTTTCAGGCTGTTGTTGCTGTTCTTGTTCCTGTCCAGGCTGAGCAGGTGCTTCATGCAGATGCCGACGGTCTGCGGTGGTAAGATGCATCGATTGATCGAGGAACGGGGAATAATGCGACGTGATACTCACGTTTTGTTGGGAGGAGCCGCGATCTCTCGCGAATGTGATGACGTCGATCAGCCACCTGGCGCCTTTCCACACTGTGTTCACTTGCGATTGGAGGTCCTGCAGCCTCGCGAGTTTGTCCTTGGCGACGCTCAGTTCCAACGAGCTGAAGGCCTCCCGGTGATTATGCTGCGCCTGCGCCGTGTCCAGCTCGAGGATACAGCTGAGCCGCGAGTAACGGTTGATCACGTCCTTCTGATACGTGTTCAAGTGCACCATCTCGAACACTTGAATCGGCAGCGACAGGAGGTCCCCGCGCTGCAACAGGATCTCCCGCGTGCCGGGCACGCAGCACGCGGTCTCGGCGGGCGGCACGGCGATCAGGAACGACACGTCGTGCGTCAGATCGATCACCTCGGCGTCGTACAGCCGATGCACCAGCGAGTCCTCCGGGCTGATCTCCATGTAATTGAACAGTCGTCGCGCGGTCGCGGCCACCAGATCGACGAACAGCTTCTGCTGCTCCGTGCCCTGAGATTCGTTCGTCACGTTCTCCTTCTCCTCCGACTCCTTCACGGAAGACTCGGACAGATAAATGCGCGTCACTCTCTTCAGGTAGTCCCACTCCTCCCTGGAAACGGATGGAGCAATAATCGGGGGTTTCTTTAGTATTTCGATTTATTTCACGAAAATTCCTTTCATAGAAGCAACGTACACGAAATATTACTTGTAAAAATTTTCGTTCAAGAAAACTCGATTATTTCACAGGAAGAACGCTTTTGCTTGAAATAATATCTTCTAACCGAATGAAATATTATTTGGTCGCGATAAATATGTAAAATGAAACAGATATTTTCTTTATAAGACAATTATCTTTCCTTTCAAATTGTTGATAAAGATACATTTTCGTTGAAGAGTCCTACAATCGTACTTATTGATCGAAACGTTAGTTTCTTCGAAGCGTGCCAATGATAAAATTGGTTTAGATGCAATAAAATTCATTAAATCCGAAGAAATTTTTGTCTCGGTGTGGAAAGATAAAAGTCGAGCGAGACTTCACGATGTTTAGTTCTCTCGCGTCCGGAAAAGCGTGTACTCACGCGGACACGTGCGGATTGTCGCGGATCTTGCAGTGCGGCAGGACGTTCGGCGATTTCGTCGGCACGACGACCTGGATGAGGTCCACGCTGCTCTGCATCTTCAAGTAGCCGAGGTACAGGCCCTTGGACAACTTGATACCGCTGACCTGGTGATATGTCATTTGCTCTTGTATACTGGCCATCAAAATATCGCCCACGTTACTGTCCTCGTGCGTGATGACCTTCTTTATGACCTTGCTGAGCGGCAACCACCTGCTGTTCAGCACGGAGACCAGTTTCGGTGACTTGATGTAATTCACCGTCGAGAACACCAGGGTACCTTGAATGTCTCTGATAGGCTTGTGGTACAACTGTCCGAGGTCCTGTGTGCACAGTGCGGCCTGCAAGGACACGTTATCGAGAGGAAATGGATGTGTTTTTTTTTTTTTTTCGTACTTTGGTACAGTCGAATTTGAATGTATCTCGAAACGAGTGAGAGTTCAAGAGAGAGCTCTTCGAATGTACCTGCATTTGTGCAGCGGCCTGAAGCAGCTTTATCCTGAAATGGTTAGTCGAGCTGCTGTGACTCTTTTCCATATCCTGCCGGAGGGACTTGACGTCGTCCCAGGTGCAGGCGACCTTCATGAGCCAATGGAAGTCATTGTACATGCAGCTGGGGTACGTTTCGTCGACCTCGATCACGGGTAGGAAGTCCTCGTTGGTCACTAGAACCTTGTCTTCGTGGTAGAGTAGACACGCGAGGAACACCCCACGCCTGAGATTCTTCTGAAACTTGCTCGTCGCTGTGAACAGCTGCTTTATCGTTGTTTTCTTCTTGTGATTTCGCCTCTGTACCGCCGGCGTCTCCTGCGTATACTCTGGTCGTCTGATGTCGGTGAATAGGGCGTTCAGTTGTTCCAGTCGGCCCGCAAATCTCGGCACTCTGCCGTCGATGTCCCTCCAACCTTTGAGAGGGCACGATCGTTCGTGAGAGCGTTCGGATGCAATTACACACGCGCGATACTCACTGCTGGGTGTCACATGCGCGGGCGTCGAATTTCTAAATCTGCTGTAACCCTTCAGATTTCCGGCGGCGGCGCGAAAATGATATCTCTGGCCTTGGGTTAGACCATCGATACGGCATTCCCTCTGCTTCATGTCCAAAACTTCCTTCTCGCCGCAAACGACCGAAAAGTCCTCGTGTAGGCTCCACTGAACTTTAAACTTGGTGCAGATCGGGGAATCATGCGAGTCGGGCTCTTGAAACCTGACCGTTACCGAGGTCGTTCCGGTAACGTCGACCGCAACCAAAAAAGGCATATCGGGTGGTCCTAAACGAAAAAGAAATTATGCGTTGGCGTGGAAAACGCTTTTCGCAGGTTCGTCCGTTTAAACGCAGATATATAAATTTCCGCGACCCGACGGAATTTCGGAATTTAATTTACCGAGAATCATTATTATTATGTTATTATTATCGGTGATAATTTCATATCAATTTTACCATAACCAAGAATTTAATATTATTATATGTAATCGCGAGATTAAGCCAATTAATTTCGGTACGGATGTGAATGTAATACTCACGCGCTTGGTCGAAACCGAGCAACATTTTTCTGAGAGCCCGGGCTCTCCTCTCCCACAGAGCGAGCTGCTTGTCCTCGGTGCTACCGCCGCATCCTGTGAGGTTATTATGTTGCGTGGAAAAACTCGCCCTATGGCTGCTGGGTGGTTCCAATAGAGTGGTCCCACCACTGCCGGAAGTGCTGCCGCCGAGTTCTTGAACCCGGTGTTCCGCTTCCGAGAGCAACGATGCCAAGTGGCTGCCCAAAGATTCCGGGGACTTGACTGTGTTAACGAAACGTCGCGTGTATACGTACATCAAATATAACGCGCACGTATGAATAATTAAAGGTTTGAAGGCAGGTAATAATAACGCGCGCGTCGAGGCCGGCGGGTTACATTTCAAGCGCACTTCACGTCTGCTTCAGATCTTGATTACGTGTATTCGCATTTTGATGAACGTTGATTTCGTCACTCAGCGTATTGTAATTACATCGCTAATCCGGGGTATTTGCACGCAACGTCCGCCGCGATATCGTTGTGCGTGATTTCTTACGAGGCTGCGTCGCGATTAATCGAGGGTCTCGCTTGCACGATTCTTACAAATTAACGATCATGATTTTATCGTCGATTTAGCAGGGGAGCGCGCCATGACGAAACGGCATTGGACACCGGATTAAGTGATGTCTTACTGTATATTATTAATTACAATTTATATAATCAATAGCATATTATATAATTATAATTTTATTGTATTCAATTACGAATTAATTCCCAGCGTAATGTGCACGGAGAAAAAAGGTTTCTTTGGATTTAGTATTTCTATTTATTTGACTAAAATTTGTTCCATAGAAACGAATACGGAATATTTATTTGAATAAAAATTTTATTATCTCATTCAAGTAAACTCTATTATTTAACCGAAAGAACGCTATTATTTGCAATAATATTTTTTAACTAAATAAAATATTATTTGGTTACAATAAATACGTAAAATGAAATAAATAATTTCTTTGTAAGAAAATTATCTTCCGTTTCAAACAAATTTGTTACTTAAGATAAAGATATATATTTGTTGAAAAATTGTACTTATTAATCGAAACGTTAGTTTCTTTGGAGCACGTCAATGATGAAATTTTTGGACGCAATAAAATTTATTAAATTTGAAGAAATCTCTTTCTCAGTGTGGACAGTGCAAAAATTTATTGGGAATTACGACATTTGACTGAAGATATTTCTCGAAATCGAGTACAGGGCTTCCTGATTGAGAACCAAAGAAACGAGACGTTCGATTTTTCGAAGACATTTGTCAAGCGCGAACAGTGTCTACCGAGTTGAAAATCTTCCGTTATCTTTCCCCGACATTTGTAAGGATTCTCTTGTCTCAGACATCTCTGAAATTAGTTCGGAAGACCCATATTTCATTTTTGCACAGGATCGGTGCCCTAACGACACCGTCGTCACCGAAGCGCTAACGAGCGTACAACGGGGCAAATTAAGGCGCGGGAAACTTTTGCGGAGATAAACGAGGATCGCAAACAGTCGGCTTGATAACGCGGGGATTCTCGCGAGATATAGGAAACCGTCGAAAAAAATCTCCCTCTCTCGTACTTCTCGCCGCAAAGAAATGCGACGCGGCGCGACAATTCGCCGTATATTTTGCAAATTTGGAAATTCCATCGTGACACCTAATCTCACATGGTAGTGATCGCGATGTGAATGATCGATATGGAAGAACTCCGGTATTCGTTCACACGCGGCATTTCCCGTGTTCGGACGGTATGTCCGATACGGGGACGCTTTTTCGCTCGCATATACAGCTCACGCGCGCGCGGTTTAATGCGGCACACGAGCGATAGATATAGATAACACAGAAGCGGCTTTGAATACCACTGGCAGAATCACATCGCATGCTCGACGTTCCGACTCCGAAGTAATTACGCCCGAGTTCGATGTATCGGGCAGGGAGGGACGTTATAATTAAAAAACCATTGCGAAAAAGACCACGACCGGCGAAAAGCGTTCTTCCTATTTCTCTTTTTCCTCCCTCCCCTTTTTCCTTTTTTTTGCACGCTCCGCTTTCGCTCGCCATTTTTATTCGTTCTTCGTCGAAACGCAATAAAGCTCGACGGCATTTTTATAGAGACTACGGAATCCTAATTGGAATCTCCCGCGGTCCGGCGATTTCCTTGCGATATTTTTTCCACGTAACACCGCACGCATGCGCTCAGGGACGCGGAGGAGGCTATTTCGAGCGGAATATGGAAAGCGAAGTTCGCGCCGGGATCAACGGGGATTCGTCGCGACGGGATTCGTAACGAAGTTCGCGCGGCGTGAAGTTGTAATTGGATTTGATTGTACTTACATTGGTTTCCCTCCTGCGCGCCGAACGCAACCAGCATTTTTGCCAACGGCCTGTTGTTGCTAAGCACGGCGACGTCCAACGGTGACAAGCCGTCGCTGTTAACGCTGCAAATGAATGGAGCGCGCGCGCTCGTACAATCGCAATTCTCTCCCCCTCTATTTTACATTAGACTACGGCTAAAAAAAGGGACAAGTTTAAGCGCCCATAGATAAGTATCCGCCGCGGCTTTTCGCCGTTGGTTTTGTCATTGTTAGACCGTAATCAGAGAGAGAACGGCCTCGCGGTCGTAGGAAACGTTTAGCTTTGCGCGCATAACGATTTAAACGTGCTCGCATTTGTAACTTCATTTCACGCTCCTGAGCGTCCTTATCGCGTATGGACCGTCGTCGGGTTTCCGCTTTTATATCGCGTCGAGCAGCGGGGAGGATTCAATGTGAAGGCTCCGTGAAACTTTTTCGTAGTAACGTTTACGTAACTTCGAAAGATCGATAAAGATTCAATAAAATGCGTGGGACTCGTTCTTGAATTATAAATCTCCATCGTAGCACCTTCGTCCCCCACCAAATTTTATCTTGTACATTTCACTTTTACGACTCGCCACGCCGTTTCGTTCCAACCCCGCCCCCAGCAAGCTGGAAAAATTTCGCTTTTGATCGTACGGAAAGTCGCGGGATTGTAAGGATTCACTTAAAAACATTTAATTACTTTCGGCGTCGAGCGTGACTCCGATGTGCAAACAAGCATGCGGAACTAAATATTAACGATATAAAACAATCGTGATAAATGCCAAGCTAAATGAGTTTCCCCCTGTACATTACTATTGACTTTTCGCCCGTAACGAGAATTTTCGGCCATGATATCGCAATTATACAAACAACTTGTCTTGTATCTTTTTACCTCGGGCAACCTATCGACCATTTATGGGATTTCGTGCAAATTTTCTACCTTAACGTTTGCATATTTTAAGTTAACTTGGAACACACCATTTCGATAGATGGAAATACATACCTCGTGCATATTACCAGCACGAAATGGAATTAAACATAATCTTAAGCTCAAAGTTATATTTATCTCTGCGTGTTATTTTACATATTTCTTTACACAGCTGATATGAATAACAAATATGAGAGTATCATATAAAAGTGGTAAAAGTATGGTAAGAACACAAAAGGATAAAATAATAATAATAATATAATAAATTTGCACATATTTCAATTTATTTTTCATGTGAGAAACGATCACATCGAAATTAAATGTTTCCCGATAAATCCATTTACGTACTCGTTAACATGGCTGATTTGACAGCAGGACATTGTACAGTGTCTGAATAATTCATTTATTCGTGGCCAAACCCTTTAGCGTACAGTCGCGAACAGAAAAGTTCGCTATATATATAATATATTCCCGGGCGACAAATCGGCGACGATTGCTCGCCGGAAATAAAAGCGAACGACCATTTTTCGCAATTACCACGCGCGGCAGACTATGAAAAACTTCCAGAGGCGTTAAAGCGCGACGAAACACGCCCCGGTCGATTTAAAAAGGCTTCTCTGCTGCTACGTTTTACGGAATTGCGCGGTGGATTTTCGCTGCATCGGGAACAATACGCTGCGGTCCGGCGGGCTTTAAGCTTCAGGCGAGACCGAAAGCCAGTCGTGTCAAACAGCTCGAAAATCGACGTACAAAGGTACGTAATTTAGGTAGATAATTTAGTGCACTCAAACACGGATGAAAAAAATGTACACGCGTAGAGGAGAATATTCAGGACAAAACGAGAAAAAAGCGAATTCTGTCACTTCGGAAAAGTGTATATATATATATATATATATATATATATATATATTTTTTTTTTTTACCTCCTTTCTCTCATAATTTTTATTTCCGATCTTGCCTCGCTCGGTGCTTCGCGATAGTTTCTGCCTTCCCGTTGAATTCCTTTGAGATTACGGACATAAAGGAAGGAGAGGCGGAGGAGTCTCTGGAAACTCGCGGCTCGATTATTTTTTGCAACGCAGCCGGGGTATACGGTGACCTAGATCTCCCTCGGGATCCCTCAAGATTCGCTCAAGTCGAATCGAATCAAGATGTTAGTTCTGCGTTAGGTCGAACAATTCCTAATGGCACGATTGACTGTTTCTATAGCGGCGCGCACTTCGGAAGTTCCCGCCCATATATTCGATTAAAGCTTCTCCCGAAATAACGTATATCTCGAGCTGGCTTTTGGGTCGCGCGTGTGCTCTTTCGAAGGGAAAACGACGGATCCTGCTGTGCGATCCTTCGACCGAAAGACTTACATCGCCGACTGTCACACGCCGATGTGTCACATGCGGAACGAACGGAATGAATATTTAATTCCGTCGCGCACGTGGCTTTTATTTTCGACCGCAAATCCTCGCCTTCGTATCGCCCCGAAATTGTGTGTTCAGGGAATAACAAATAACGTACTCACCTATTTACGTCCACGTCGGTAGACTCCAAAATAGTTCGCGCTTTATCCAGGTGACCATGTTCCACAGCCGCGAACAGAGCTGAAAGTAAAAACGGCGACGGTGCCGAAATTAGTCTTCATTGACACATTCCTGTGTTTACGTTTCGTCGCACGCGCGAGAGCTCCTCGCCGAAGCGTAACAATTTTCGGCGGAGAAACGAAAAGGGGGGTGAGAATCAATGGCGAATCAGAGAAAGAAAGACGTAAAAATCGATAAAGCGGGGGAAGAGGGGGGGGGGGGGAAAAAAGAATACAAAACTCAAGATACCATGCAGATGTATGTTGAGAGATTGGGCCGAGAGAGGATTGATATGTATCGACGACAGGTTATTCAGTTGCTGGTGCGGCTGCTGTTTCTTCTTGCCGAAACCCTCCAGGAACTCCATCCCTTGCAACGAGTGTAGCTCTGTGCGAACGAAAACAAAAAAATGGGGGGGAGGATAAAGAAAAATAAACAAGCGACGAGAAGGTGATACGAGCGAAATAAAAAACGCCGCGAGATCAGCGGATGAACGGTCGACGTAAGGTACCGGAAAATCCGACAGGGAATTGAGACGCATCTCGTGATTAACGAGATCCTTGAGATACATTTGCGAGGCTACGGAAAAATATATCCGTCTTGGGTCGCGCTAGAAAACGTACGACGTAACGCTGGAGATTCACGTATGACTTTTTTCAGGACGAGATGTTTCAAACATATACGGTCCCCTTTTTAAGTCGCATAAAATCGTACTAACATCTGTCATCAGAGAAAATTCATCTGGGAGTCATTAGGGAGAAAGAGAGAAAAAAAAATGACGAGATCCCGAGAATTATTTCTTTGTTGGAATATTCTGCGCGCGCCATGAATGATTCGTATACTCTACGTGAGGTGCTTTCACGACCAGAGGTTTTCCCACGTGGTTGTTTTCCAACATCACAATGCCTCTTGTAATTTGCATTTTTATTTCACGGCGAACACGGCAAACACTTTCTTCCTATAACTTTCCTCGATAATTATTTATCTATTCATCTGGGAGGGCAAAAAATTGGAGTAAAAGTAACAAGCGGAAGCTA